GCCACCGACGCCGTCGGGACCCGGCGCAACGGGGTAAATGCTCCTTTCCAGCCCCTGGGATCCCTCCAGGGATCTCTCTGCCCGCTAACACCCACTCTCTCGCGCACCCGGCACAGCCCGTTGCACCCAGGGCTCCCTTTGCAGGATGAGCACCCTTTGCAGGACAAGCACCCTTTGCAGGATGGACTCCCTTTGCACCCAGGACGATGGCACATCTTCAAGCACCCTTTGCATCCAGGGCTCCCTTTGCAGGACAAGCACCCTTTGCAGGATGAGCACGCTTTGCACCCAGGACTCCCTTTGCAGGATGAGCACCCTTTGCATCCAGGGCTCCCTTTGCAGGACAAGCACCCTTTGCAGGATGAGCACCCTTTGCAGGACAGGCACCCTTTGCAGGATGAGCACCCTTTCCAGGACAGACACCCTTCGCAGGATGGGCTCCCTTTGCAGGATGCCACCTCTTTTGCTCTCCTTTCTCCCTGCCACCTTCATCTGATGGCGCCACTTGCCATACAATCAGAGACAGGATACGGCCAGGCCCTGTCCACCCCTTTGCAGACCACGCGTGTTTCATTGCTATTTTTGCACCCCCTCAGCCACCCTGAGAGTCCCAGGTGCCCGCTCCCGACTCGGTCCCCGACCGTCTCTCGGAGCTGGGGCCGGAAAGGGCTGCCAAGGGGGGGGACCTGCTTCCTAAACCTCCTCCCCGCGTGCCCCAAAACGCTACCGGGACACCTCCGCCCTGGCCTCACCTGCCTCCCGCTGGTAGGCAATGAGCTCCCCGTTGGCCAGCGACACGAAAACCTGGTTATCCAGGTACCTGTGGGGACAAGGGCTTCAGCATCGGGCCGGCGGATGCTGAAACCACCCCGCGGTGAGTTTTCCCGGCCGCCCCCTTACAAGATGCACATGACGGCGGCGGAGTGCTGCATCTTCATGCTGTTCTTCCTGTTGCGGATGTTGTCCGAGGACTGGTACACGTGGATGCTGGGGATGCAAGAGAGGGGAAGAGACGCGCTGAGCTCCCACCACCGGGAAGGAGCCCGGGATGGTGGGCTGCACCGAGCCGGGGCGTTTTCCCGCGGTCCCCTGCATCCCGCTTGCCCACCCCAACCCCGTCACCCGTCACCGCCGCGCGCCCGCACCAGCCGTCCTCGGTGCCCAGCCACATGGAGCTCTGGTGGGCCTCGGGGTCGAGGCTCAGCAGCTCCTCCCGGCTCCCCCCCGCGC